CAGGAGCACTCGAAGTCCGCTACCAACGAGTAAAATATGACCGCCGTCGATGCAGTACGTACGAATGACCTGCTCCAGCAACTGTGTGACTTTAAGGTCCCAGTGCCAGAAAAACGCCATATGTTAACCTAATTCTCGACAAGGAATTTACTACAGGGGTCGCGGTGACCTTTCCGAGCATAAAACAGCGTTACGCCGATCTTGCTAGAAAATCCCTCACGGATTAGGACGACGGTAGTTTCAGTAAGTTTTGTTGCCTCACCGCTGGCGCTAAAGCGTACATGTAAGCCCACTTACCAAAGTCCTTGAGCGCAGAATGGAAATAAAGACTAGAGTGCCGCTTCTACAGAAACTCAAGCGCTAATTTCGGTCGGCAAATAATGGCCTCTATTTTCTTCTCTCGAATAGAAGTTATCAGAAGGAAGCGTGTTACGCCTTGGCGTCTGCTTGGTATGTTTATCTAGAGTTTATTATCGTCTTGCTGGGAGCTGCCCCAAGACAGGACTGCGCAGCTGGTTCCTCAATGTGCTCGTGCGCAAACCGAAACACACAACCATCTTATTGTTAAATCCCAAAATTATTTTTGTCTTATGCGCCTAACCTCACGTTTTGAGACTTTTCTCTCTTTCCATAAAATAAGGAAGACGGTGTGGTGAAAGATCCAACGAAAGAGAGTCAGTCCTAGAAATTTTACAAGTATAAACTGACAAGCTTGAGTGACGGGCTTCAGAGGAGTGTATCGGTACGTGGATTAGTAACCTAAAATGTGCCTCGACATTGGTGAAATCCACGCCAAAGTTTAATAAAAATGTGACAATTTATAGGAGAAAAATGCTATAATTTTCCGACTTTTCAACACTAGAGAGCACACAGTTTTCCTAATACCTGACATATTTTAAAGTAATCGGTCGGAAGTGGGGGTCCTATTTTGTCAGTTTTACCCGCAGAAAAGATCAGAGGGACGTTTTTACGGCCAGAAAACCTAACTCGATTTTCCATAATTTCTCTCGTAGGTCACAAATCAGTACCACACGGACGGGTATAATGCAGAAAAATCGAGAGGTTGACTAATGCACATCGGTTTGGGTGAGTAGTCAAATCTTATCCCTCCTCCTATTCAGGGTCTCAAAATTGTACTGACAAAACCTGACAGTTTTCCACTACGTAGAGTGAACAACAACTAGCCTCCTAACTTGCTGATAGCCACTGAAAGAACGGATCAAAGACGAATAATTAGAGAGGTAGTTTCCTCCGTCGACAGACCACACTAGTTTTTTACGGTAGGAAGTGCGTACAATTTAAAATATAAGGGAAGAAGGAAAAAAGTTTGGTAATGGCCTCACGAGAGCTCTTCTACTCTTCGGTTTGTTCCCCTGGTCAGATTCTGTGTTGCCTTCCGTGTGATGGTGTAAGCCGGAACGATTATTTGGGCCAGTGCCAGTGGCAACCCCGCAGCGCTCGAGTGCTGGGGATAATTTTGGGGAAGGCTTCATAAAGCATGAGGGAACTTCACCGCATTCGTCCCTACCAATGGAACTCTGCTGTGTGTTGGTATACTCCGCCAGAGCCCGATGGGAGGCCATGGCGGAGGAGGTGAGGGGTGGCAGCTTGACCAGATTTTCACCTTTTCGCATCAAACTTCGAATGGCATCTGCGTACGCGGCTTGCCGAGTCCGCTTAGCAAGCTAAAAATTTAGAACGCAGCATACTAGATGGAAGAGTTAAGCCGTAGAAGGGGAGACATTGTGCAGGGTAAACATGCCAAAGTAAACGTGTAAAGATCTCTAGGCGAGGGAATACGCAAAACAAAGCAATAACTACTTTTCACCTCGATAGCTGATCAGGTTGTTGATTCCTTAGGATGTAAGTCACTCATAGGGGTCGACTGAACGCCAGGTGGTAGACTGTCTGAGGAAAAGATTGAAGTACGGTGGGACAGTTGTAAAAAAATCTATACATTTAAGTTCTGCTTCGGAGGGAAGTTAATTTCAGACTGGTAACTAATGGTTTTTTTTGCCTGCGGTTATGACCACCTAAGGAAATGTGGGCAGCAGTATCTTCACGGTCCTGCGCGGTGTTTGTTTCCGCTACTGTTCGACGCTCGTACATGATCAAAAACACCTACTCCTTTTAAACAGTAGTATTATAGTACAGAATTTTCAAAAACGACCACAACGACCAGAGTAGCGTCTGGACACGCCATGCTTCGAACATCGCAAGCGACAATATCCAACGTGTGCCTCACGGCACGGGATCAGCAGCGGCGACTTACGCGTGAGTTAGATTATAAGGAGCACACTTGCGCAGCATTTATCGAACTCTTTACTCCCTCGCCCACCTGGCCGCAGTGGGGTGACGAATTCACGACGACGGAAGGTGCCTACGGACACGTTAGTTGTCAATACTAAGCAATCCGTCTACTTGTGTCATATACATGGCTTGGTTCTCAATGTAGGTGTGCCGAGCCACGAAAAGGTGACTAGAATCTCACACCGATGAGAATGACATAAATGTCACATTAAGACGGTGCCATTTCCGCCTGACTTTTAGTCCTCAGAAGGATCGAATTATCCTGCCCGTTGGGAGTCTTCAACAGGCGTCTTTTAATTCGCCATAGTGGGTTCAAACGCGGCAGATTTATTAGAATAAGCGATGGACTGGTATGCCATGACGATGATTTCTCCAGAGTCGGCCTCATTCCCTCTTGCCTCTTCTGTGCACCATTTGACTGCCCAAATCTGTCAAACGGCTGGTGATGTGATTGGGCGCAGTGACTGGCAAGGCTGAACAGTCTACCTGCATGTGCCACACACAACTTGATCCATACTCCATGTGTACTGGACTATACCAGCTAACATGCCTCGGAAGTAATAAAAGCTTGCATATTTTACATTCCACGTTTCTCCCGGTATAATAACATTCGCAAAGTGGAGCCATGTTTAATAGAGAAGGTAGGCATCGTGTGTTATGGGGATGTGTTGCGTGTGCGCGTGCCGTGGAATAGGTTACTTTGCAGCCAAGAGGTGTACGTACAGGCAGGGCAAGGAGTAACTATGGAATCTGGACGGTGGTGTTCTAGCGAAGATCTTATTTGATGTGCGTCTGACCGTATAGGCTCATACGACTGCCAAATGTCCCGGAACAGTGGGCAAATAAAACAAGGGGGACGGGTATTCGTTGGGGCTTCTAGAATCGGTTTGCCAGACACAGTACGAGGGATTTGTAAGAGTGTGCGATCGCAATCAGGACAAGTTGAAATTGGATCCGCGTTGCTGGTGTTGTCGTCGGTGACGGGATGGGACGAGTAGGTAAGTGGAGTGGTTTTCTTCTGAGACTCTTTCGTTGATGACGACGCTCTGTGCGAGAAGTTTTGAGTTGAGCGGGCTGTCATTACGGGG